TTGTATCTTCTTCGACTTCTTCAGTGTCTTATAGTTTTCTGAGTAGAGGTCTTTTACCTCCATTAAATTTATTCCTAGGTATTTTAGTCTATGTGATGCAATTGTAATTGGGATTGTTTTATTCATTTCCCTTTCTGATAGTTGGTTACTGGTATATAAAACTTCAACTGATTTCTGAATATTCTGTATCTTGCTGCTTTACTAAATTAATTTATTCTAATAGTTTTTGGTGTAATCTTTAGGGTTCTTTCTATATAGCATCATGTCATCTGCAAATAATGACAGCTTTACTTCTTTTCCAAATTGTATGCCTTTTATTTCTTATTGCTGTGGCTAGGATTTCCAAAACAATGTTGAATAAAAGTGATGAAAATGGACATCCTTGTCTTGTTTCTGATCTTAAAGAAAAAGCTTTCAGCTTTTCACCATTATGATGTTAGCTGAAGGTTTGTCATATATGGCCTTTATTATGTTGAGATATGTTCCATTTATCCCCACTTTGTTGAGAGTTTTTATGAATGTATGTTGAAATTTTTCAAATGCTTTTTCTAGATCTATTAATATGATCATATAATTTTAATCTTTCATTTTGTATGTGGCATATCATGTTAATTGACTTGCGAATACTGAACCAAACCTGCAACCCAGGAATAAATCCCACTTCATTGTGGTGTATGATCTTTTTAAGGTACCACTGAGTTCAGTTTGCTGATATTTCGTGGAGAAATTTTACAACTACATTTCTCAGAGCTATCGGCCTATAATTCTTTTTATTGTAGTGTCTTTGTCTGGTTTTGTTTATTAGGGTAATACTGGTCTTGTAAAATGAGTTTGGGAGCCTTCCTTCCTCTTCAGTTTTTTGGAATAGTTTGAGAAGAATAGGGATTAATTCTTCTTTGAATGTTTGGTAAAATTCACCTGTGAAGCCATCTGGTCCAGGACTTTGGTTTGCTGGAAGTTATATTGATTGCTGATTTGATTTTGTTTGTAGTTATTGGTCTGTTTAGATTTTTTGTTTCTTCCTAATTCAGTCTTGGAAGATTGTATGTTTCTAGGAATTTATTTCTTCCAGGTTGTCTGAATGTTATTTGGCCTCCATGTGTTTGCGTTTTTCAGTTTTTTTCTTTTGATTTCTAGTTGCATATTACTGTGATCTTATTGGAGAAGATGCTTGATATGATTTCAATCTTCTTAAATTTATTAAGGCTTGTTTGGGGGCCTAATGTGATTTATCTTGGAAAATGTTCCATATGCATTTGAAAAGAATGTATATTCTGTTGCTTTGTGGTAATATATTCTAAAAATATCAATTAAATCTATCTGGTATAGTGTGTCATTTAAGGCAACTGTTTTTCTTGATTTTTATGATGCTTGATATGATTTCAATCTTCTTAAATTTATTAAGGCTTGTTTGGGGGCCTAATGTGATTTATCTTGGAAAATGTTCCATATGCATTTGAAAAGAATGTATATTCTGCTGCTTTGTGGTAATATATTCTAAAAATATCAATTAAATCTATCTGGTATAGTGTGTCATTTAAGGCAACTGTTTTTCTTGATTTTTTATGTCTGGACATCAATGAGGTGTTAAAGTCCTCTACTGTTACTGTATCACTGTGGATCTCTTTATGTCCATCAATACTTGCTTTACATATTTAGGTGCTCCTATGTTGGGTGTGAAAATGTTTACAAGAGTTATGTCTTGTTGGATTGGATCCCTTTATCACTTTAAAATATTCTTTTTGTCCATTGTTACAGCCTTTGTTTTAAAGCCTATTTTGTTTCACAGAAGTATTGCTGCCCAGCTTTTTTGTTTCCATTCGTATGAAATGTATTTTTCCATACCTTTACTTTCAGTTTGTGTGTGTCTTTCAATCTGACAGGGGTCTCTTAGAGGCAGCATATATATGGGTCTTGTTTTCTTATCCAATCAGCCCCCCCGTGTCTTGTGATTGGAGCATTTAGTCCATTTAAATTAAAGTAATTATTAATAGGTATGTCGTTATGCCCATTTTATGAATTGTTTTCTGAATGTTTTTGTAGTTCTTCTCTATTCCTTTCTTACCCTCTTGCTGTCTTCTCTTGTATGCTGATAACTTTCTATAGTGTTATGTTTGAATTCCTTTTTATTTCTTATATAGCTTATAGATTTTTTGTTGTAACTATGTGCGTCACATATGCCAAGCTATGTTTATAGTGGTCTCTTTTAAGTTGATGGCTGCTTAAGTCCGAAAACATGCTAAAATCACTACAATTTTTACTCACCCTCTTTTTATGTTTTTGTCATTCCTTTTTACTTTTGTGTGTGTGTGTGTGTTTCTCTTCATCCTTTAATTTATTGTGAAATTACACATGATCTTCCTACTTTTGTCTTTTAACCTTTGCACTAGCTTTATAGTTGGCTGATCCGCTGCTTTCACTAAATGTTTGCCTTTGTCAGTAAGAATTTTTTTCTCTCCTATATTTTCTTATTCATATGTTTAATCTTTTCTTATAAAAGAAGCCCCTTTACTATTTCTTGTAATACTGGTTTAATGGTGAACTCCTTTAGCTTTTTCTTTTCTGGGAAGCTCTTTCTCTCTCCTTTGATTCTAAATGATAGCCTTGCTGGGTAGAGCAATCTTTGTCAGGGGTCTTTGCCTTTCATCATTTTGAACATTTCCTGCCATTCCATTCTGGATTGCAAAGTTTCTGTTGAGAAATCAGCTGACATTCTTATGGATGCTTCCTTGTACGCAACTGACTTCTTTTCTCTTGCTACTTTTAAGGTTCTCTCTGTTTTTAACCTTTGACATTTTAATTATGATGTATCTTGGTGTGGGCCTCTTTGAGTTCATCTTGTTTGGGATTCTCTGCGCTTCCTGGATTTGTATGTCTAATTTTTTTTGCCAGGTTAGGGAAGTTTTCAGTCATTATTTCTTCAAATAGGTTTTCAGTCCCTTGCTTCCTCTTCTCTTCTGTACCCCTATGATGCGAATGTTGGTATGCTTGATGTCCCAGAGGTCCCTTAAACTAGCCTCATTTAAAAAAAAATTTTTCTTTTTGCTGTTTCAGTTGAGTGTTTTCCACTACCTTTTCTATCAGATCACCAATTCAGTCCTGTTTCATCTAATCTGTTGTTGATTCCCTCTAATGTATTCTTTTCAGTTATTGTATTTTTCATTTCTGACTGGTTCATTTTTATGTTTTCTATCTGTTTATATTTCCTATCTTTTTGTTGAAGTTATCACTAAGTTCATCTATTCTCCCCCTAAGAGCACTGAGCATCCTTATAAGCAGTATTTAAAACTATGTATCTGGTAGATTGCTTGTCTCTATTTCATTTCATTCTTTTTCTGGATTCTTATTTTGTTCTTTTATTTGGGACATGTTTCTTTGTCTTCTCATTTTGGCTGACTCCCTGTGTTTGTTTCTGTGCATTAGGTAGACCTGCCATGTCTCCAGGTCTTGGCAGAGTAGACTTATGTAATACGTGTACTGTGGGGCCCAGCGGTGCAGTCTCCGTGGTCACCTGAGCTGAATGCTTCAGGGGTGTCCCTTGGGTGTATCATGTGTCCTCTTCTGTTGTAATTGAGTTGTGATTGCTGTCAGCACATCAGTGGGTGGGACTGACCCTCAGGCTGGCTGTGACAAGCTGTTGTACAAGGGCTGACCCCATGGAGTAGGAGTCATTTTAGCAAGGCTCTGATGCCAGCCGTGTCTGCACTTTGGGTATGTCACATGTAGAGCTGGTTGGGAGATGTTCTGGTTGGTCTAAAGCTGCCCATCAGGTGTGCTGGTTTTGGAGCTTCTTGGAAGGGGTACCAGTTCAGGTAAAGTTCAGCCACCACTTGTACTTCAGCCCCTCTATCTTAATCTCCAAACAAAAGCACTACACGATCCTTATGGTTTAGCACAATTATCAACATCTCCATCAAACCAACCCCCACCCCAGACAGAAGTGAGCATCACCTCCTCAATTTTCACAGCCTCTTAGTTGCACATCTTTCATGGCAGTTATCAGAACTGTCCTGTTCTGGTGACTGGGTACATCTTTTCTCTTCCCTGGGTGGCTGCAAGTGCCTTGAGGTCAGGGATGGCCTACCCCTCTTGGCATATCATGATCTATGGGGCCTCAGGCCCACAGGACAGTTGGCAAACGAGCCCCCTCTATGTGGGGGTTTGGGTAGAGGAGCTCGGAGCAGAGGCAGCAATGAGGAGTGAAAGCACACAAACCCTACTTGTCCACATGCCTTTGAACACCTAGGAAAGTACAAGCAAAGGGCCCACACACGACATTATTAATGTTCCAAATTGACATAAACAGAAAATGGTCTGTAACACAGCACTGACGCACCAGCACGATAAAATGGAATATTTCACTCAGTGAGTGGCACAAAATAAACATCCGTACCAAGAAGACTACTGAAGACACATGCCTCCTACATGCACAAATGCACACATAGCTCCAAGTGCCAGCACAAGAAGGCTGCTGGAGCATTTTGTTCCTTGTGCATTTTTTTCAGTCTCACATTTTCAACCCAAACCCAACAAATCATTCTTGGACAGAATTGGAGTGGGCACAGGACAGGAAAGGCAATTATGCTCAGAGCAGAGCTGCCAGTGATGCCTCCTGCAACTTCCCCCTCCTGGCTGAGATACTGCTCTGTGGCAGATCAGCACTCTGTCCGGGGACTGAAGATCCTGGAAATCGGGCACAGGGCAGTTCCTGAAGCAGCACCTCTGACCTGTGCCATGTCTGCTCAGCTCTTCACCCTGTGATCCTATGCAAGGGATTTCAGGTTCTTTTTCATCATATGACTATGTGATTTGCAGCTCAAAAAGGATCTCCAGGACTAGGCAGCTGTGCCCTGTCCCACCTTTTCCTGAAAATGGAAAAGCCTTCAGGAAAGAAACTTCTCTCTGCTATCAAACATGAGCCTTGCCCTCTGCCCCAAAAACTCGCATTCAGGAAAAGGGTCTCGTCATCTTGTCATAAACCCAAGGAAAGGGCAAAGTACCTTCTGGCCTTGGTTTTGGCTTTTCCAACCCTCCATCTTGCATGAGCTCAAAGGCAAAAGAGACATTCAAGACCTGAAAAAAAGAAATGCAGGGCATATATCATTGCACACTTATTCCTGGACCTTTGGGGCTCCTGGGACATGACCCTGGGAAGTGATAGAGCCAGCACTGTAATGAGAGGGGAAGAGGCTGAGCTAAAACGAGGCTCTAATGTGAAGGAGAAATGAGGCTACCAAAATGAGTAGGCCATGCAGAGTGTGAGCTGGCCGATCCCAGCTTGCTGATGGTGAGCACTCCCGGAAAAGTTCAAAACCCTCTTCCTGTCCTATTGTGTTCCTATGACAACTGCCAGGACTTTAAGGAATATCAGTGCATGCAGTTGAAAGGATGAGATAGTAAGACATGGTTAAGAGGCAGAGAAAGGCTTCTGCTTTGGACCAACTGCCCTTTGTCTCACATGTAGGCTGTGGCAGCCTATGTGAGGCATTAGGTTGAGTGCGTGTCTTCAGGTCTGACCAGCCCTGCAACCACTTTCCCTGTCACCCCTAAGGAGAGATAAGGCAGAGCTATGGCACCTGGTAGGAACGTATGGCTAGGGAACCAGGGCCAGGATGATCCATAGTCTGCTGGTATCTCTTTCCTAGCTCCACTACTCATCAGAATGGGCCCCTCATCCAACCACTGAAGACCCTGGACAGACAGATAGGAAGTTGCTCTCTTTTTCCCAGATGGCCCCAGCATAGGTGTAGGCCGATGAATCGGGGCAAGTGGACTAGGACCTCCTTTGACATCACCTCCCCTTACCTTCTGTTCAAAGCTGTCCGGGGTCAGGAAGAAGCTGTGCAGGGGCACGAAGTAGCCCTCCAGGAGCCCCATGAGCAGCACCAGGTATACCCCATCTGCAAACTGGAGGGAGGAGAGACAGGTGAAGGCACTGGACCCCTGATTCCCAACCCAAGCCCCACCCTGGGGGCTCGTCATTGTCCATGCTAATCCCTCAAAGGCTACACCCCCAGGCAGGCCACTGGAAGGGGGTGAGGGCCAGTGGCCAGAGATAGGAAGGTGTGCACTGCAGCAGGCCTGGCCCATGTCTGGCTGGTCCAGATCTCAGCTGATGAAGCATTTTTTGAGCACTGACCATGCATTAAGTTAAGCCCTGATCTGGCCTGGGGACCACAGAGATGGGTCGGGCGTGGCCCCTGCCCTTAAGGAGCTCACAGTGGAAAGAACGATGTGGAACAAATGCAGCAGCTACTCTGATGGAGGGAAGCATGTTGGCCTGTGTGAATGTGACAAAGGTCACTCCCTTCCGCTGAAGGCAACAGGAAAGGCTTCTGGAAGAGGCACTGTCTGAATGGAGATCTGAGGGATAAGCAGGAGTTAGCTAGGGTGGGACAGAGGAAGGAGGGAAAGGGGATGTCCAAGGCCAATGGCATGAGGCTACTAAGGGTGACTTTTGCTTTATGAATAGAGAAAGAACTCTAGTGTCATGTAGGTCTGGACATTTTCCTTTCTCACCTCTCACTTTATTGCTACTCGAGAGGCAAAGATCTCACTTTATTATTGCTTGAGAGGCAGTAAAACGTAGTTGTTACGAATGTGGGCTCTGGAGCTAGGCTTCCAGCTCCACTAACTGGCTGTGTGACTTGAGCAAGTTATGCAAGTTCTCTGTGCCTCATTTTTCTCAGCTGTAAAATGGAGATGACAATAGTATAGTATCTACCTCATAGGGTTATTATCATAAGGACTAAGCCAGTTAATATTTGTAAAGCGCCTACAACACTGGCATGTAGGCTACACCTAATAAATATTAACTATAGCAGGTCCTCGAAAAACATCATTACTTCATAATGATGATGAGAAAAAAAAATTGATGACTGGCCAGGGCCCCTGTCTGTGTGGAGTTGGCGCATTCTCCCCATGTCTGTGGTCTGTGTGGGTTTTCTCCGGGTACTCCGGTTTCCTCCCACATGCTGAAGATGTGTCTGTGAGGTGAACTGGTGTGTCTACATTATCCCAGTCTGAGTGGGTATGGGTGTGATGTGCCCTGTGACGGAAGGACATCCGGTCTACAGTGGGTTCCTGCCTTGTGCCCTGAGCTGGGATGGGCTCTGTCCAGCTGCTGGGATGGGCTCTGTCCACCTGTGACCCTGCACTGAAATAAACAGGTTGGAAAATAATTACTTGTTTTTATTTATCTTCCTTAAAAGTATGTATAGCTCAAATTTATTTCAATATTTAATATTAGACATGTTTGAGGTCTTTATTTAGAAGTTTGGTGATATTTTTGTGACCAGAAAGATGCTGTAGGAACTTAACTCTTGTTTATATCAATTAGCTCATGGGAAATTGGTTTTGTTATATGCTGTTTGCTTAAAGTTATAATTTTCAAGAACCTATCAACAATGTTAAGTCAAGACTTACTGTATGGCTATTACTATCCAGGAAAACAACAAAGCAATCAGGACACAACTTACTGGCTCTTGTCGACAAAGCACAACTGTGTGCTGAGCCCTATCCCTTCCAACGAGGATAATAGAGTCTGGACCATCTGGGAACCTGGTCCAAGGGACAAGAGAAGCCTAGACTAAGCATAGGGATGCAGGTCTTCTGCTCAAGAGAAGGCAGAAGGCAGTGTGTATGCACTTGGGGCAGGTTTTGTGGGGGGGATGGAGGCCTGTGGAATGAGGAGAATTTGGAAGGAGTAGGTCTTCAGGTATGGAGGATGGTCTGAGCAAAGATATAGAGGTCAGATGCATATCTGATATTCTAGACCTTTCAAAGGAGGCAGGGCCACTGAATGTTTGTGGGCATAAAAAGTAGTTGCTAGGGTTTGCAAGAGGCCATAATTCTTAGAATTGTCTTAAGAAACTTAAAAAACAACAACAACAACAACAAAAACTAGCCTACATTGCCTGGAATGTGGATTGGGCCTAGAGTCTGAGCTCTGCTCGGTGACTGGCTGGTGGGCCTGTGGCTCAGCCTTTGTTATGGGCATCTGACCCTGAGCACAAACTTGACTTGGGAGCAGCTTCCTCCCTGCTTCCATCCATCTGGCCTTCAACTCAGACAGTAGGGCTTGAGCGTGACTCATCCCAGGCCACCCCGGGGTGGACAATGAGAGAGCAGACCCCAGCATCTGTCTCAAAACCAAGGCCCTCCCATGGAACTAGTTAACTGGGCCTCATTCTGGCTGAGGCTTGACTGGATCGAGAATAGAAGAATCCAATCTGTCAACTCAGGGGAGGACCTTGGGTTAGGGTCAAGGTTAGTCACAGCTCTGAGTACCACTGGCTTAGACCGCTCCCACCCCTGACTGCTCTTTCCGATGACTCGATATTAATGCCGCAGACAGACACTGCACATGCTTGGCAGGGCCTCCTTTTGTAGTGATCCCTGAAGTGAAAGTTCCAGAGCCCATTCTAGCTCACCCAAGGAAACATCACTTTTCCAGAGCATTCTCTAACTCCTAGAAGAGTATATAAAGCTCATTTCACAGAGCATAGACACACTCAGACATACAGCTCAGGCACAGACCCAAGAATTCCTTTTTAAAATAACAGGAAGTGCCCATGTGCTCAATAGAAAACCACACTTTAGAAATTCATCACAAATGAAAGAAGTTTGGGAAACGGGATACATTACACAGTCTTAAAGTATCTCTCAATGAAGATTAGTTATAAAGTATGTGTGTGTGTGGGTGGGAGGGGGCTTTACAGTAGGGAGATCTGGTGGACACCAACTTACTCAAGTGATCAAAGTCATTATCACCAGTAGTGGGACTAATGGACAAAAGTGAGAAGAATACAGCATTGCTTAGGTGGTGGTGTTACTGAAAATACATAACCTGAATCTAATTCTGGGGGAAAAAAATTTAGAGACATTCAATGAACCAAATGGCCTGCACTCTTCAAAAATAGCAATGTCATGCAAAGAAAAGCTGAAGATCTGTTCTATAATAATAATAATAATAATAAAAAGACTATAAAGAGATATGACAACTAAATGCAGCATGTGAGAATATTAGGACAACTGGCAAAATTTGAATATAGAGTGTTTCCTTGAACTATATATATGTCATTGTCAAAAGTAGCCAAATGTCAGCAATTTCACAGTTCAACCTAATGTATTATATCGATGTTAAAATTACCAGAATTTGGTCCTTGGATTGTGATTAAGAGAATGTACTTGTTCTTTAGCGGTTCGCCTGAGTGGAATAGAATATCTTTCCTCCTGGAAAAGCTTCAGGGTCAGTGTGGAAAGCTCTCCTGGCAGTGCAGGGACAGGGAACTCGGAATGGTGGCTGTTGAGCAGGACCTTGCCCCTTACCCTGCACTCACAGCTGTCACTCACCTGGGTTTCCAGTTCCGTGACCTCCAGGTTCAGTTTATTCAGGTGCTTGTTCACGAAGGTGATGAGAGTCTAAAAGAGAAGCATAGGCTGGTGACTGAGATGGAGGCTCTCAGCAGTGGCAGACCCTGGAGGCTGCCACTGTGACTTCACTATGAGGACAAGGACCTGTGTGATCACAGATGACAAGGCCCAGCCAAGAACACTCATTGTGCAGGGTGATCACTGTGTTGAGCTGAGTGAGGATGAGCAGCTTATGAGGTTCTTCTGCAAAGTGGCTTGAGTTCACGGGAAAGGATGGTCTTCAGAACTTGCGGTCCCATACACTATGTGATTCAAATGACCAGTTTTAGGACTCTGAAAGGAGCAGGGAATCTTGAGAGGGCAGAGTGAGAGGTGGAGTGTCTGGGCCCAAGGGCAGGCGGCCGAAGGAAAATTAGGAAGGGGGCCAGAGAAGAAATGACTCCACTGAGTCCCTCCTCCGAAACCCCGCCTTGGAGGCAGGGATGGCTGGGGTAGGTATCCAGTGATGAGACAGGTAAAATGGACATCAAGCAGGAAAACCCCATGTTGGCAGATATCCAAGTTTCAGGAAACTCGCAAGCTGCAGGAATGACTTTTCCTAAAATGTTTTGCTACATCTCACTCCCTCCCCTGACACCTCCCCTGCCCAGCCCCCTCCTTCCTCACCTTTTTTACCACATTGAGCTTGTCTGGTGCATGGTCGAACAAGGTGTCGAAAGCATCACGTTCTGAAAAAGAGGGAAATGTCAAGTGGAATACAGAGTTGATTCCTGGTGGGAAGCCCACCCCAGGTCTCAGCCACAAGCCTTTAAAGGCCATGGTCAGCTACGGATTCCTTTGGAGTATGAGGCTGTGTTGGGAACTCTGAAAGCTAGGTTTAGGGCAGAGATTTGGGAGTTGATTCTTTTTCTCTTTTCCTCCCTCTCTCCCTCCCTCCCATTGTCTATGTGTCTGTCCATCCGTCCTGTCCACCCCCTATGTCAACCCTCTTTTGAACTGCGGTTGGGGCCTTTGTCAGGCACTTTGACTTGGAACTGGTCATTTCTTTTCAATCTCTGTATTTCATCACATCATAATTTAATCATGGTTCTAAAGTGTTTCTGGAGCTTTTTGTAGGACAAATGTTATCCAAATATCAAATCACTTCACCTCCTAAGTTTCAAAACCAGAACAACCAAGACAAACTTCTTGGTAGAACACGTAGGTAAGCGGATGGGGCATCAGGGAGCCCGAGGACAGGATGTGAATGCCGCCTCCTGAGTGATGTCGTCATTTCAACTCTTTGTGTCTCAGCTTCCTCTTCTCTGAAATGCCATCTGAGAAATGAACCTCCCCAGGTGTGTTATGAGGATGAAAGACAAGAATGTATGTGTTTGTGCTCTGTAAACTCTGAGGTATCTACCAACTTGAATTGTTGTTGGCATTATTGGAATAGTTCAAAATATGATCTGTAGTAAATGCAGGATCATAGAAAATAGCAAAGCCATGCCTCCTGCAGGGTTTCTCCTGGCTACAGCGCCCATGTTCTCTGAACTGAGAGGTGAAATAGTGGGGGGGATCTGAGGCAGAGAATGAGAAGAGTCTCTAAGAGGAGGCTGGGGCTGGGAAGGTCTGTGGTCCTGGGGCCTGCCTTTTCCTCCTCTTGCACCGATGGGTAAATCTGAGACTGCCAGGAAGCTGATTGAGATCTCTGACATTCAGACTTTATAAACAAACTCAAAGTTCTGGGAAATGGGAGAGGCAGGAGGTGTGATGAGGAAAGAGGGGAAAGGCAGCTTCTAGAAGGGCTGGGCAGAGTAGGGAGAAGGGACAGTTCAAGCATCTAAATACACCTCCTTCTTTTACTCCCACAATACGCTTAGAGCAAGACTGCTCTGCAAATGCCCAGAACCCATCAGAAAGCCCGGCAATGTCAATGGTCTGGTTACTTGTGAAAGGACTGTGCAGCTGTGGTTAGTTTTCCTCTTCCCACTAGTAAACTGACCCTCCCTACCAAGTGGCTCTGTCACCGGGCTGGTGCAGACACACTCAGGAAGCAAGCCGAGTGCCTGTTCTTTCCAGCTGCTGCAGAATTAACTAGACCCCCGTGGCAGTCACTAGCACCAGAGGACAATCTTATGCAACTCACCATGCCTTCCGGAAAGAGCCCTGTAGGAAAAGGGGAAAAAATTTGTGAATCTTCTCTCCTTGCCCTTGGTTAAAGAGCTCAGAAAGCTTCCTTCCTCGGCATTTTATTCTGCACTGTCTTCAATTACCAGTGGTCTTTACCACATTACCTCCTATTCTCCCCTCTGCTCTAGCGATATACTAGTGTTTGCACAGAACCTAATATAAGAAATACTTAAAGGACCTTAAATAGAAATCACACTGTTGCTTATAGTTGAGAAAGAATATTGGACTCAGGAGTTCAAGATTCCTAACCCCGTTTTAGGAGCAGAGCTCGAGCACCACCCCAAGGTGGAATTTCACTGCCCAGACTGCTGTGGGCATCTGCTTAAGGAGATCAGGTTTGTCTCCTGTCTATCCTGTGATATCCACCAAGCTGCATCTGCCCTTGACCCAGGATAGGTTTTCTTAAGGAGGGAAGAAACTGGAACTACATTCACAGTAGTGAAGCAGTAAAGTACTAAGAAAGAGCACAAGCATTAAAGACAGATTACTTAGGTTTAAATCCCACAGAGCCATTTGCTTGCTGTGTGACCTTGAGAAAGCTACCAAACCTCTCTGGGTACCAAGTCTCTTATCTCTAAAAAGAGGACAATAATGGTACACATTTCAACAGCATATTGCGAGCATTAAATAATTTAATATGTAGAAAGTCTAGCATAATTTCTAGTGTATAGTAAATGCTCAATACGTTTTTTCTCAGTATGTTTTTGGTTCTTATACTGGTTTATTCCAACTGTGCATCTGTCACCCATTAAATGACGTGCAGGTAGTGTACTGGAAGGAATAATGCATGTGGAGTTAACTGTTGGATGGACCAGTGATGGTCTCCTTCTCCACCTTTGAGCTGTGGGGTTTTAGGAGGGGTAATCATTGCTTCAGGTGTTTTTTATGAACATCAATAGATACAAAAGTGCTTCATAAACGGTACCATGCTATCAATATAGGAGTTCGCAACCACATTTATGTCTATGGGGCAAGATGGCAGAGAGAGATGATAGAAGGCATAATGAGCAGCTGAGAGATAGCTCAGAAAACCGAAACTTCATGTTCCCTCATTTGGGAGTTGCTCAGAGGCCACACTCCTCTCACATATGTCTTCCTCTTTTCCAGAAGGTGAAATATAGGGTACGGACAAGCCCAGCAAAGGGGAGGGGAAGTGTGGGGGAGGACAGTGAGGAATTCTGCTCCTCTCCTGGCAGGGCTGAAACAGGGCAGCTCCCCTCCCACCCCTCACAGAACCAGGGCCAAGAATTAGTGTGCCTTATAGATCAACCGTCCCTTCAGCTGCCAAGACTGGGCCCTGGAGTGACATGGAGGCTGCCTGACGGGGTGTCCGCAGGCCATAAACTAGGCATCTGGGGAAGAGTCACTCCACACGTCTGTCCTATCCTGGCCCCGAAATGCCCATACCTCTGGGCCCTTTTTAAGGCATATGCACAGTGTGGTCCAGACAGACACCACCCTGAGCCCCCATGAGCCACAACTGGGGAGGGGGAGTGTGTTTCCTAGAGACTGGATAAGGCTTGGATGGTGTGGATCAGCTGTGATGAGGAAAAGCCAGAAGGGCAAGGGAAAGGGGGCAAGGCTGTTACCATGTTGAGTCCTCGTAATCTCTCTGGTTAGGAAAATGCTCCCCACTTCAGAGATGACGAAACCGAGGTCAGAGAGGTTAAGGGACTCACTGGTGAGTAAGTGGCAGCTTCTGGACTTGAACTCAAGTCAGGCTGGCTTAGAGGTCTCTGCTTTTCTCATTGAGCTCTTGTTCGAGGGAACACAGAGGGAAGGCGAGGGAGCGGAGGATGATGAAAACGAATTTGACTGTCTGTGCATGTGGCCAGGGCTCAGGTCTGCCCAGCGATCTCAAACCCATACTCAGCGACCTGCTCTTTTTGCTTAAGATCAAAACCTGTCTTCCCCATGGCAAATCTCTTATGTTCTGATATTCCAATTTCTTAATGTAAATGAAAAAAAAAGAAAGAAAAAAAACCACTCTGAGGTAGAGGGGCTTTCTGGGTCATGGCACGTGACCAAATAAATCAGATTCAGAAAAGGAAGAAAAATGTCCTTTTGAAGGTTAACAATTTAAATTCAACTCCATGTTTATGGCATGATGATTTCATGCTGGTTGGCTTTTTGGGGTACTTTTTTCCTGGAGTGCCACAAAATTAGAATTTTTCAATCACTACTAATTCTCTCTCCCCACTTCCCCACCCAAGTTTGTACCTTAAGCATTGAGAGGCATGTTTTGAATGCATGGAAAAGGCTAAACTATAATCATTGGCTGAAGTCTAATCCCTCTTGCAATCCCAATAAATGAAAACTAAATATCAGCAAATGGACGAATTTCGGAGAAACATCTGTGTTCCATTACAGAATCGCTGGCAACAATGGTGTTGACATACTCTGTGTTACCAGTTATTTCCTCTTGGATTTGCCGAGACTGGAGGATTCCTTCTCGTTTCTGAAACGGGGGTGGGGAGAAGGATTGGGAGGAGGAGAGAAAAATATGCTTTAGTAAAATACAACAACTGATTAGCATTCCTGACGCTGAGAAAGTTACTGGTGTTTCAGAAATGACCCTGGAGACGAGAGACTGCTAGAAGTGAACCGAGGTCTCTGACTTCCCGGGTCTGGACCGTACCATTCGTACTTAAGTGCAATTAGTGTTTAGTCCAAACAAGTAGGCTGTTTCTTGGATGGTGAATCTTTTCTTTCTTTATTGGAAGACATTCTGCTGGAAGCAAACTGTTTGCCTCCTGGAGTAATCTGCAGAAACCAAATGGAAATGAAGGCCAGGGTGTGTCTGCCTTCCAGCTGGGGCCACAGAGGGAAGCTGAGAAACACATTTAGCTGGGGGCTGGGGCGGACCAACCGAAGCCAACTTGGATAATTCAAATAGAGGGAGAGTTTGTTTGTTTGTTTGTTTGTTTGTTTTTTAAATGATAAATATGGGAGCTTTTAAATAAGTAGTACAGTCCTCAGGTCACTAGTTTATCCTTTGAGAAAAGGTTAAGCACTTTGGAAGCCCCCCTACCAATCCATCCATCCACACACTTATCCATCCATCTGACATCTATTCCATCCTCCTGTCAATTCATCCTCTCTCCTTTATTTCATTAACCAGTGCCTTCTATGTACAAGCCCTTGTGTTAGACTTGGAGCGAATACTATGGAATATATGACAGTTTCTGGACTTGCAGAGAGGAAGTGCTGAATGGAGGATAAAAGCAGGTACTTTTAGCTGGGATGGTCAGGGAAACCTGCTCAGGGTAAGAGTCCTTGAGCTGGAACTTATAGGACACATAGGGTCTAGCCGGTCACGGAGGAGAAGCCATTATGGCCTGAGCAAAAAGAGAGCACAATGTATTCGGAAGGCCGTTGGGAGGGAGAGTGCCATGGAACTTATAGGACACATAGGGTCTAGCCGGTCACAGAGGAGAAGCCATTCCAGGGGGAGGAATGGCCTGAGCAAAGAGGCAGAATCGGGAGAGCACAATGTATTCAGAAGGCCGTTTGGAGGGAGAGTGCCGTTAGTCAATGGGGAGTCAGCTAAGTGCTGGTTAGAGTTTAAAATTCATTGTGTGGGTATGGGAGCCACTGAAGGAGTGTTAGCATTCAGGAAGAATGGGTGCGAGGAGGAAGATTAATTTTATCAAGTCCCTTCTCAGTCAGGTACCAGACAGAGGACAGTATGGCATGAAAAACAGTGGTCAGAGCAAACTCATCTTCCACAAGGGCTGAAGTGTCAGGAAGGACTATTCCAAGCTCTGGTGTCTCGGCGCAAACCAGCCTTGACCCCACCAGCCAAAACTTCCAGAATTTCTTTTCACATTCCCAATAGCCACAGAATCTAGTGTCCTAGCAAAATACTTTTACAGAAGGAAAGGTAGAGCTGGATAAAGGCCAAGAGTATATCTGGAGTAGATTAAGAAGAATGGACTATCAAAGCAAAAAAGGAAGGAAAAATAGTCATTAAAGGCAATCCAGTGAGGATAAATCAGAACTTTTTCCAAATTCAGCTTTTAACATATGTAAAATTTTCACATGGGGCTAATGGAATCTGTCCCTGTCTTGTGAGGCTATTCACAGACATAAAACTTCATCTTCAACTTCATGCAGAATTAAATGCTTTTTTATACAGAATGGAAAAGAAATCTGGGTTAAATAACCCCTCATACAGCATCCAGATTCACCTCAATCCATTATTCGTTCCCTAAAGAGTTCTTTCTATAGCTCAGTGACTCACAGCCAATTTTGAGTCCTGCTTCTGTGCCTGTTTAACTTGATAAAGCAAAACACCCCATAAAACCTGATATACATTGATGCCCTTTTATGTAATGCGTCCTCTTTCCCACCTCATGCTAACAGAACTGCCTACAGTAGAAATTAAACCAGCCTTCAGATAGCCCATAATTGAGCTCAAAATAAGGCATGAGTCGTGGGTTTGCAGTGACCACTGTTTCAAAATAGGAGCCACACCTTTTTCTAGTTCAGATCTTGAATCGTAATTTAAAAAAATATAATGGATTTACACATTGCTTGGTAAAAATAACACAAGAGAGACGGTCTGGATTCACCAGGAAGATGCCTGTTCCAGGATGCTCTGGGCTGGCCACATACATATCCACAGCAGACATCAAATGCTTAGCATCATGCCTGACACGGTAGAGTGCTCAATAAATGAGGCCAATTAGTCTCTTTCAGTCAGCTGCACTTAGTGTCTGACCCACATACATTCTCATTGACTACAGGCTTCTGATAGCCCTCTCTGCTTCTTATCTCTTGGCAGGCAGGCAAAGGTGTCATTCCTTTTATACCCCCTTGATGTTTAGCATGTTCAGAACCCAGAAGGTGTAAAAAAAAAAAAAAATACTTTTTCGTTAGGGCACAACTAAGCAAATGATTGAGCAGCATCCCTAGGTCTTCTTCCTCTCCCATTAATATCTGATCCCTGAAAAACTCAGCTCAAAGACCTTTTGTCCTGGAAACTGGCCTGGCCTGCTCGAGCAAAGCTTATCAGCCTTCCAGGCTCTTCCTCATCAAGGGACAGCAGAACTGCCGTACGATTCTCTATTCCAGAACCCTACATAACCAGGGAGCTGCTTATGAGGGGAGTTCTCCCTTGCAGTGTGTTTATTTGGAAAAGAACAGAAACAAGCAAACAAAATGATGACCTTTTGCTAAATGGCATAAAGTTGGAAAATAAAATTGAATTTGAGTATCTAATGGGGTTAGGAGCAGAGTGAGGTAGTCACAGGGAGAGTGCACACCCTCATTGTGGAAATTACACAGCCATATGTGAATGGAAATTCCATCCAACAATCTGGAAAAGATGACTTGAGATCCCAGCTGTGCTTCTCTGGGCGGGTGAAAAGTGACAGTTCCCCTCAATACAGGCATGGACAGTTGGGGTCTCGGTCTCTCTGTCTCTCTTCCTGTCCCGACTCACGCGTGCGCGTTCGCTCCCTCTCTCTCTCTCTCTCTTGCACACGCACACACACTCTCACATACAGAGATATCTGTCTCTTCCCAATACCTGTGTATCATTTAATCAAAAAATGATTCCCTGTGGCTTGCAGGGCATGTGCATGCATGCACACACACAGGGATACATCTTTCCTCTTGATCCTACTACACACACAACATACCATGCACCCTCAAATATACATTACATAGACACCCTCCTGACAAAAACATGTAAACCCCAGGCACATGCCCACACAAGGCTATATCTCATACACAAACACATACTCTTCCACCCTTTGTATACTTATCAGGGAAGGACAAGCTCACATGCATCGGTAAGCTCACTCACATGCCTCCCAACGTGTAGCACACCCAAGGACACTCAGCATTCTTTCAGCTGTCCTTCTAATAAGCTACCCAGTGTGCCTTAGCTCTCATAGGAACTCAGCCTCCGAGACACCCGTTTAAGTGTTCAGATGTTTGTAGTGATATATGTCTTACCTGGACCACAACCACTTGGATGGAAACATGGTCTGGGAGTCGGATTGGTGCCCTGAAATACTGGGAAAGAGCAACCAGCAGATGCAAGATGGCTACCAGGCTCTTGGCATGAACAGCTGAAATAAAAGGTGATTGAAAAATTAGAGAATCTTCTTCGAAGTTCTAGGCAGATATATACAGATATCCAAAATGTAGCACTCCCACACCCATTGCCCCTTTTATCCCACCGCTAAGGATCAGGGGATACACTTGGTCATCATAGCCCTCATCCTAGGCCCCCTCATTCTTGGCCAGATCCCATGGAGCTGTTTCTTGGATCACGTTATTGCTGGATTTCCAGTGTAGTGCCTGTTTCCTCTAACCCAAGGTTTTCATAGAGACCCTGATAACTGCTGAATTCTGGGTTCAGATCAGTTTTCTACCACCTCTATGTTCTTGTTCACTCTATCCTAATAACCATGGGCATGTCTGCTCTGCACCCCCCTTCCCTTTCCACCTGACTGCACCCTCTTTGGGTTAGCACCACTACCTGTGTCCCAAGTCTCCACCCAAAGCAGTCCCTCAATAAATGGACACTGCGTCAGAAACACTGGATCCCTTCCTAAGATCCCTGGAGGAAGGCACGAGAGACATCTAAAGGGCTTTGTTGCTCTCTTGAAGGCCATGTGTGGTCAGCGTAGGCCATGTCCCTTAGGGAATAATGGGAGAAGATGTTCATGACCCAACTGGCCTCTACAGCTACCGAGCAATGTGCTGGATATAAAGCCATTTACACTACAGAAGACTGGGCAACTACGGGGTTGTAGTTTTCTCAGTAGATGAGAGGAGAAAAAGACTGATGTCGTGGGGCACGCACATGGTCGGGCAGACTGACTTGACCACTCTACCATTTATTTACTGCCTCATGACCTTGGGGATGCCACCCACGGCCTCTGAGCCTCCATCTGCTCATCCTCACAAATGGGGATAACCATTCCTGTGAAGAAATGTACGTTGTAAGAATTTTCAAAGATAATGTAGGCAAAGCTCCGAGCCTGTAGCAGATGCCTAGGAATGGTTGATCTTTTTTATTGTAATTTACGAGAAAGTGCCTAGCATCTAGGCAATTAAATCACATCAACTTTCTCCCCTTTATTTTTCATAAAAGGGAAGATTCACCAGATACTTTGCCTGCCTTCACAGTCCTACAAGTCTCATGGCTCTTCATTACAGGGGGGCATTTAAGGAAAGAACAACAACAAAAATGACCATTTTGTGTACTTAGCATTAACTGGGCCCAGTATTAGGGTGTTATTCTGTCTGCCCTGGGATTGATGAATCTACTTTAACAGAAGCTTTGAGAAAACACCAAGAAAAGGATATGAGTCAGAATTTCCTTGGGAACTCATTAGAGTTTCTTGTTATCACCACTACTTCAGAGGAGGTTTTCTACTGACTATGAACAGCAGCTCAACACCACTATCAAACAGCAGTTGATCTGCTTCTAACTCCACCTCCCAGAAGTTTTCAGTTCTGGGCTTCTGGGTGTTGTCAAAAGTTTCGTCCACAGTTAGAGCCTCAAAAAAGGCTCCCGGCATGAGACCGACCCACTGACGTAGTGTGCTCACCGCAGACAGGCAACGTCAGCTTTGCCCTTCTGATCAGAATTGCCACACCATCGGTCCAGTCACTGAGAGTTGTAGGACATTTGCTACCTCTCCTTTAGCGACAAAACATAATGCTAGAAAAGCTGTGGTCAAAAAGGTTGTTCTTACACACTGGTAACATTGTATATCATCTCCACTGTCTTGGTGAGCAATACAGAGCTATTTCGTAAGAACCATACGGAGGTCAGACACTTTCAATGAGTGCTCTGTCCTCCTGGGAATTTTTTTTTTTTTTTCAAAAGAAATAATTACACAGTTTCTCTCTCACACAATACTACATGTACAAAGATGTGAATTATTGTGTAATATATTATTGCTGAAAAAAAAAATCTCAAAAACACTATGTCCAATAGCAAGAGGAGAGTTTCGACTAGTGGTTTTCAATTTTTTTTTTAAGCATAGAAATCCTTTGTTTTAAAAGCCATTAGGCAAAACATGGAAAAAAGTAAAACTCCTCTGGTCCCTGCGTCCTAACTGTAGCTCACCCACAGCTGCTGCTCCTCGCCACCTTTATCCTGCGGGAAAGACAACACAATGTCCTCAGAAACTGCCAGGGATGATAACAGGAGGGATGGAACTTCCCCCAGGAGCTGTGCCTGCCTCATTCCTTATGGAAGAAACCACTGCGCTTGTAAACAGGCCCAGCATTTCTGGAAGCCCTGAGGCATCACAGGGAGCTAGCCATTGAGATAATTACTCCCTCCGACCTAGTAATTCATCTCAGTTCTGGAAATCTATGACGGAAATAATTCAAGACAAGCAAAAAGAAACACAACCTACGACATTCAACTTGGCACTATCTGATATTAGCAATAGGCTGGCAAACATCCTAACGGAATCAACGTCAACGCAGGGTTTAAGTTAACTATGGGATGGATATCTACCCCATGAAATAGAGCAGCTATCAAAAATAACTTCGAAGTCCACATGGGAATACAGAAAATATGTACGACATACAATTAAGTGAAAACAAAACACAAGATGCATATGACTTCATCAAATAAAAATATGCATTGATATGAGTAGTGGGCAAAAAATGAAACTAGCCAGATGAGAGTAGTAGTAGAAGTGATTATTTTGCTCATACACATTTCTCTATGAGAAATGAAAGTAAACACGAACCAAGCAAATCAGTCGAAACCAATGATGGTCCCCTTGAGGGTTTTAAAAATTTCACTCTTCTACCTCAGCCCTTCCCAAATTGGGTCCCCTGGTAGGTTAAAAGGTGGTGTTTTTTTTTTTTGGAAGGGTTCACAGAGATGGTCCACAGTCTAAGGAATAGGAAATAGGATCAAACAAAACTAAGCAGGGTCCTTCATGAGAGCACTTTAATCCTTATGACTTTATGCTTTAATGCTGATGACGATTGTGGATTTCCAAAATGCAGATACATTTCGCAAACTAGTGATTAAGCCCCCTTGCCCCGCGCCCCAACACCCCTATCCCACTGAACACTAGTAGCATTCCTGGGGTACAGGATGGATAGCATCTAGGGCCCAGGCCATGGCCTCCCTACTCCTGCCCTTATATGTCTCCCTCAGCAGAAGATGCCCGTTCCAAGAGCTGTGCTGTGCAAGGCAGCTTATCATGCGGTACAAGCAAAGGTATAATTATGCTTAAGGAGGTACTTGGTGTCTTGCCTCCAATGTCAGATGTTAGAAACCTGCTGAAGAGATTGCGACTGGCAGCTACTGGGCCTCTAAGTTGAGAGGTGAAGATTCCTTTTTCTTTCCCAATTTCGAAAGGCATTTTTATGGGGAGGATGTGTCTATTTTAAGCTGTATAAATTGGATGCAATAAGGTATAGTATTGAATGCCTTAATACTTAAAGGCAAAGAACACAATCTAAATCATTTTATCAATCTAAATTCATATTTTCATCTATTGCAAAGAACAAAACAACTTTGGACTTTTTAAGATAACATGTTGTCAACCTGCTGATTTAATGTGGGTTGCGATATGGAGTCATTAAGTCTATATTAGACGACCAGGCCCTTCAGGAAGCAAAAGAATGAATGGTTTATGCTTTCTGAGATCCTTGAGCTATAGTAGCTGTCAAACCTGAATTTAAAAATCCTGTTCCAGTGCCTACAATATCCACCATATCTTTGCTTTCCTGGAAAATGAAGGGGTGAGAAGAAGGGCGTGGGCTTTGGAACAGAACCATATCCTTGCTCCCCAGCTTCTCAGCTGCCTAAATGTGGGGATCTCAGCTTTCTCAAGCCTCTGAAAGCCGGAGACAAAGCATTTTTAACAGGTTGTCTAGAATGCAGAAGTATCTCAATGAATGAGTCTCCTTCCCTTCTCAACCTCATAGGAGCTTTCTACAAAAAGCCTTTTACAGAAAAGGTACCCTGGGTTTTGACGTTTTGTTATTTTTCCCAGAGCTATGTAGGATAAGTTCTCTCTGTGTGAGATGCGTTCTTCCTTAGAAGGATAAATGGGTTTGCCCCCACACAGAGACTGCCAGCTTCCCGGAAGGCTTCTTGAGGAAACCTCACGGTGGGGATCACAGCCAGCATTTAACAGACCCGCTTCTCTTTGTGAAACTCACAGTCCACGTTCCACTTGATGCTTCTGGGAGGAAGTTTCAGGGTTTCGTTGATCTTCTCCAGGACAGTCTGCAGCTTTTGCTTCTGAGCAATCTCTGACTGGGTGACCTCAGCAACGTTCAGCTTCTCACTCTCAAGTTTCTCTGGGGTGACAAGGGGAAAACAGCTGTTATCGCCAGCCACAGACAACCCCGACTCTTACGCACGCACTCACATATTTACTCACTCAACAAACGGGCACAGGCATACCTCGCTCTATTTGAGCGTTGTTTTATTGCACTTCACAGATGTGTTTTTTCATAAATGGAAGGCAAAACCCTCCATCAGCAAAAAGAATATGACTCTTATTGTGGTGATCTGGAACCAAACCCGTAATATCTCTGAGGCATGCCTGTATGTCAAGGACACTGCTCTCCCCTCCTCGTCTGACGGTGCCACCGGTGGCGCCAGTATTGTGAAAACCTTGTGATTGTGTCTTGAATCCCTAAATTATAAGATCCTTTAGAAGAGGAGCATTTAACCTAGCCTGTCATATTTGAACCCTTTTCTATCATTTTGGGGTTTTCCCTCTTCTTTTCAATTCTGCCTTCTGTAAGGACATCTCTGTGCTCCAACTGGATAGCCTTCTGTCCTTCCCCTGGGCAGTGTTTGTCCTTATTCAAGGCATTTTGTACATTCCTTGTAGTATAATGTGTGTCATGCTAAACCATATTTATCTGTTTTAAGCACCTTCTTTCCTTTAAAACCCACCTAAAAAGTAACTTATTTGATGTGCCTATGTCAGTAATTCTAAGGCAAACGTTTTTTTCACGCTTTAACAGCTCTGAATTCAGATTGTGTCTTAAAATCGATGGTGTTCTGCAACTTCTCTCAGACAGAAGATATGAGTCTGTCACTGCTTTCATATGTGCGTGTTTGGTCATAGCTCTGCATAGTGTGGTCACCGCCATGTCTCAAGCCTACAAGAACACTTTCAAAAAATGGAAAACAAAAATTCTAATCAATAAGAAAGCTTTGTGTAATACTTTTTTTCTCTTTTCGAATGGTACTTATATAATGGTGTATTTTAAAATCAATGGTTCTTGTATGCAGTGAAATAAACCCTTAATACTTAACATGATTAGACTGTGTTTTGCTTTCATTAGTCTAAATTTCTATTTTTATCTATTAAAAAGAACAACTTTGGACTCCATAAAAGGAAATATGTTGTCTTCTATTAGATTCACCTAATTCACCTTCCACAACTCATTCAGGATTAAGAGAACTGATGCTCTGAAACATATTTAAAATCTTTTTCTCTCACTTTTAAGGGCTGTAATACAAAGTAATTAAACTTCACCATATATCAGTGATTCCCCTATTGCTTGCATTACTTTATTTTTAATAGCTCTAGTTTATCCAAGTTGAATGCCCCTTGGGTAATACTTTGGAGATGAGTTTGCCCACTGGAGAATTTCTGTAGGTTCTTAAATCCAAGAACCTACAATTTCGGTACTTTAATAGGATGATCTCAAGCTATTTTCTGTGACGGCCTGAAATGTTATCTTTCTCTTTAGTTGCTTAAAGCCATCATTCTTTATTTCTAAAGTTCAGGGATTTAACAGGTATATATCTAAATGTCTTCCTCTTGAATATTAAGCCCTGAAGAGACCCTGTGTGCCTTTTCCATTTTTAGGCTGTGAATTCTTATCTTAGATCCTCTTCTATTGAAGAAATGATGAGTTGTTTTCATCTTACATTGCAACTACAATTTTGGTACTTTGGTAGAGACTGCCCTAAGTGCTAGGTTAAGGAATCTTGCAAAGCTTTGCCCTCAGAGAGAAAGACTGGTGGGACAGGTTAGTGATGGCTGTCTTCAGAGTGAGCAGGGAAGGCAGGGAGGGGAAGAGTGGCAGCAGAGAGCAGTTTATTTTTTTTGCTAGCCCTGTTGTATTATAATATTACTTATGAATTTTCATATTTATAACCTGCTAGCACTGGACTTCTTAGAGTAAATAGCTTAGGCCTCTGAGTCTTCTGTTTTCTAGGTCAATAAATTTTGTTTTTTGCACTGTTGGTCCATTCCGCTCTCGTTTTTTAAAAATTGGATTTTACACATTACTCACTGGAACACTGTTTTTCTGTTTCCACCAATATTTTTAAGTAGTCTATGGTACTAAAAATTATAATGCATTCTTCCTAAAATTAAAATCTGTGTTTTTCCTTTTTTGGCATCTGGCATTGTTTATTAAGAATGGTTTTTATCACTTTGCTTTATTTCTTTTGCATTACTAATTTTTTAGAAAATGTAATTTTTTTTCCACTTTAGTTATTATGCTTTGGCTTTATATTTTTGCTGTAGGATATCTTATTTTCGGTATTGACATTGGTAATATGTGGACGTGAGGAGAGAGAATATCTTGAAGTAACCCTGATTAACAGTTTTAGATGTAGGTCTTCACGCTCATAACACACACGCAAACAGAAAGAAAGCATCCTCACTCTGTTAATGAAAGTCAAATTACCGTGTATACATTTTCCTGCTAGTTTTTTTTCCCATTCAAATCTATATCATAAGGATCTTTTTATGTCAATATATGGATATAACTCATTCTTTTTTTTTTTTTTTTTTGTACCGTTGACCACTTTCACCCATTTACTCCCTCTCCCCCACGCCTTGTTTCTGGCAATCACCAATCTGTTCTCTGTATTTATGACCTTCTGTTATATTTGTTGTTAGATTCATCATATAAGTGAGCTCATATGGTATTTGTCTTTCTGTTTAGCTTATTTCAGTTAGCATAATGCCCTCAAGGTCCATATCCATGTTGCTGTAAATGGCAGGATTTCATTCTTTTTTATGGACAAATAATATTTCATTGTATATATACATCACATTTTTCCATATATTTATCTATTGATGGACATTTAGGTTGTGCCCATATCTTGGCTAATGTAAATAATGCTACGAGGAACATGGGGGTGTATATATCTTTTCAAGTTAGTGTTTTTGTTTTCTTCAGATAAATACCCAGAAGTGGAATTCTGGATTATATGGTAGTTCTATTTTTATTTTGATGAACCTCCATATTGTTTTTCAAAGTGGCTGCACCAATTTACACTCCCACCAATAGTGCACAAGGGGTTCCCTTTTCTCCATATCCTCACCATTTCTTATTTCTTATTTTTGGTAACAGCCATTATAAGAGGTGTGAGGTGACAGCTCATTGTGGTTTTGATTTGTATTTCCCTAACAATTAGTGATGTTAAGCACATTTTCACGTACCTGTTGGTCATCACGTACCTGTTGGAAAATGTCCTGTTGGTCAGATCCTCTGCCCATTTTTTTAGTCCACTTGCTTGCTTTTTTGCAATTGGATTCTTTATATATTTTTTTATGGATTCTTTATATATTTTAGTTATTAACCCCTTATCAGGTATATAATTTGCAAATACTTTTTTAGTATGTTGCCGTTTCATTTTGTTGATGATTTCCTTTGCTGTGCAGAAACTTTTTAGTTTTATGTGTCCCACTTGTTTCTTTTTTGTTTTGTTTTGGTTTTGCTTTCAGTGTCAAATCCAAAAAATCATTGTCAAGACCAACATCAAGAAACTTACTGCCTTCCTCTGTTTTCTTCTAAGAGTTTTATGGTTTCAGATCTCATGTTCGAGTTTTTAATATGTTTTGAGTTAGTTCTTATGTATGGTGTAAGGTAGTGGTCTAGTTTTATTACATGTGGCTGTTCAGTTTTTCCAACACTACTTGTAGAAGATAATGTACACTCTTGGTTCCTTGGTCATAAATTAACTGACTATGTAGGTGTGGCTTTATTTCTAGGCTCTCTGTTCTGGTCCATTGATCTCTGTTTCTGTTTTCATGCCAATATCATACTGTTGTGACTACTATAGTTATGTAATATAGTTTGAAATCAGGGAGTATGATGCCTTCAACTTTGTCCCGTCTCAAGATTATTTTTGCTATTCAGAGTCTTTTGTAGTTCCATACAAATTTTAGGATTTTTGTTCTATTTCTGTGAAAAATTCCATTGAAATTTTGATAATGATTGCACTGAATTTGTAGATTACTTTGGGTAGTATGTACATTTTAACAGTATTAATTCTTCCAAGCCATGAGCACAAAATATCTTTCCATTTATTTATTCTTCATCAATTTTGTTCATCAGCGTATTACAGTTTTCAGTGTACAGACAGGCCTTTCAATTCCTTGGTTAAATTTATTCCTTGGTGTTTTAATCTTTTGATGCAATTGTACATGAGACTGGATTCTTAACTTCTCTTCCTAATAATTATTAGTGTATAAAAATATAGCAGATTTTTATATATTGATTTTGTATCCTGCAACTTTACTGAATTTGTTCATTTGTTCTTAATAGTTTTTTGGTGAAGTCTTTAGGGTTTTCTATATCTTATGTCATCTGCAAATAGTAGTTTTATTTCTTCCTTTGTGATTTGGATGCTTTTCTTTCTTTTTCTTTTCTAATCAAGACTTTCAATACTATGTTGAATAAAAATGGCTAGAATGAGCATCTCTGTCTCATTCCTGAATTAGAGGAAAAGATTTCAACTTTCACCATTGAGTATGGACTTGTTATATATGGTCTTTATTATATTGAGGTACGTTCCTTGTATACCCACCTCATTTGAAGTTTTTAACATAAATGCATATTGAATTTTGTTAAATGCTTTTTCTGCATTAAGATAATCATATGATTTTTATTCTTTATTTTAAATGTGGTGCATCACATTGATTTTGTGGATGTTATATCATCCTTGCATCCCTAGAATAAATCCCACTTGATCATGGTGTATGGTCCTTTAAATGTATTGTTGAATTCAGTTTGCTAATATTTTGTTGAATACTTTTGGCCTGTAATTTTCTTGGCATCTTTGTCTGATTTTTGTACCAGGGTAATGTTGGTTTCATGAGTTTGGAAGTGTTCCCTCCTCTATTCTGGGGAAGAGTTTGAAAAGAATTGGTATTCTTTTTAAATGTTGGTAGAATTCACCAGTGAAGCCATCTAGTCCTGGGATTTTGACAGGAGGTGTTTGATTATTGATTCAATCTCCTTCCTATTAATTGGTTTGCTCAGATTTCCTATTACTTCATGATTCAGTCTTGGTAGATTGTAAGTTTCTAGAAATT